AAAAAAAAAATAAAAATTCATTTGTTAAAATTCCTACACCCAATACCTTAGAATATGATGTTATTTGGAAACTGGGTCATTGCTAATATAATTAGTTAAGATGAGGCCATCAGTGTGTACCCTAATTCAGTTTCTCCACAGGGAAATATTTGGATCTAGAGACACACACACAGAGGGTATCATTTGTAGATGAAGGCAGATGGGGGTAATGGTTCCACAAGCCAAAAAATGCCAAAGATTTCTATCCAACCACCAGAAAAGTTAGGAACAGATTCCTCTTCAAGCCTTCAGAAGGAACCAACCCTGCCAGCACCTCAATTTTAGAATTTGAGTCTGCAAAGAAAAGAGACAATCAATCTTTGTTGTCTGTTGCATAAGCCACACATTTGGTGGTACTTTGCTACAGCAGCGCTAGGAAACTAATTGGTGTGATGACAAAGAAACTACTCTTTTCCTATCCAGAGCTTGATAATGATCTCCCAATATCTCAGCTGAAAGTGAGAAAGTAGTTAGTGACCTTTCCATTCTCAGAAGTTGGCTAAAGCGTATTTTTCCACTGTCATTTCTCCAAATTAAATATTTTGTATAGTTTGCATTTTCATTAGGAAATAGTCACATTCAAGTCACTGATATAATTCTCCTTACAAGATGGCAATATAGGGACTGGAGCAAGCCAAGTAACAATATTTTAGGATCTTAACCATTGACCACAAACTTCTCCACTGATTATTTCCACTTAAGTGGTTAGACTCATAATCCCCCTATCTCTCTGGTTACAAAAAGATCAAAATGATAAAAAGTGGTTGATCTGAGAAACAGAAGATTACAGCTAAAAGTAACAATCAGCAAATTGTTGTAAGTGTGATGGAAGGTGATTGCAGAAACCTCAAGCTGACCAACAGCATTTACTTGTGATTGTCTGTCCACCATGCCTCAGGTCCTGGGGGGTCCCCCATGTTAACACCTGCCTTTGGGAAGACTCCAGGTTACAAAGGTACAAGAAATTTCTTAGGAGTTGATTTTTTGCTGACATCTGTGCCCTTTGTCATCCCCCCCTTTGTTATGTCATAGCAATCTTACTAACTTATTCATAAATTGTCGCCTAACTCTACACACATCATTTCCATACCTTCCATACTTTTCTCTTCCTCCTCCTCCTCCTCCAATGAAATGCCAGGTTCCGAATCTTCATAATTCTGTTCTTCATCAGAGAACCCTGTGGTTTCTGAATAGGCAAAGTCCCCTTCACCCTCATATACAATGTGTTCTGGGACATCATAATCCTCCTCTTCCATGGCGGTTCCTGCATCTTCAGAGTATGTAACAGATTCTAGATAGTCATCTCCTAAGTATAAAGAGTCATCTGGCTCCTCATATCTCAGTCCATCCCTTAAATATGTAATAGTTGCTGGAACTTCGTATTCAACTTCGTTCTCAAATGAATACGGCAGTGAGTCTGTTGGTATGTCACATCCCTCCTCGTTCTCCAGGGAGGACAAAGAAGTTTCCCTAAAGTTTTCCAAAGCCAAGAGCTCTTTCTCTTTGAAAGACACTGTGATTTCAGGTTTCTCAGGCTGTTTCTTCTGAGAAGAAAAAGCATCTTCTGAATTCTTGTTCATCCCAATAGATTGAGGAGGTAGGACATTCTCGTGTTTTAAAATTTCTGAGAAGAATAAGAAAATTGAGGGTTTATTTTGGTTTTTAAAAAGAAATTAGGTAAGGAATAGCTTGAATGTCTGAGTCCTCAGAGCATCATCCCTTTCCTTATTTCATCAGAGGATAGGAGTGCCCACTGCCTCCTCTGTCACTTGCATGGCAACTGATCAATTGTCAGAATTTTCTTTTTCCCACTGGGGGGAAAAATAACCAGATCACATCACTGTCTTGCTCAAAAGTCTGAATCTTTCATAGCAACCTTACAGCATAAACGAAACAGAAAATTTTAATTTTTGAATAGTGTTTACTTGTAGATCTTTTGTGACTCATGATAGACTCCAGGTTACTGGGCTCATTACTAATGAAATCTGATCTTGGCTTGGTGCCTGTGGCTCAAGCGGCTAAGGCGCCAGCCACATACACCTAAGGTGGCGGGTTCGAATCCCCAGCCCGGCCCGCCAAACAACAATGATGGCTGCAACCAAAAAATGGCCAGGCGTTGTGGTGGGCGCCTGTAGTCCCAGCTACTTGGGAGGCTGAGGCAGGAGACTCACTTGAGCCCAGGAGTTGGAGGTTGCTGTGAGCATGATGCCATGGTACTCTACCCAGGGGGATAGCTTGAGGCTCCGTTTCAAAAAAAAAAAAAAAGAAATCTGATCTTCATAATTTCTAATCAGTAAGCAAATAACTCTAATTTGAAGTAATATGTCCTAGAAATAATAAAACCTATTTTCCTTTTTTATTCTTTCTTTTTCTTTTTTTTTTTTTTTTCGAGACAGAGCCTCGCTTTGACACCCTCAGTAGAGTGCCATGGTGTCATAGCTCACAGCAACCTCAAACTCTAGGGCTCAAGCAATCCTCTTGCCTCAGCCTCCCGAATAGCTGGAACTATAGGCGTCCACCACAGCCCCCGGCTACTTTTAGAGATGAGGTTTCGGGCTGGTCTCAAACTATTGAGCTCAGGCAATACACCCACATTGGCCTCCCAAGTGCTGGGATTATAGGAATGAACCACTGCACCAGGCTAAAACCTATTTTTTTAAGCTGATGACTCTTGTCTTATATTAGGGATTATTAACATTCACCTTTTTATGTGTAAAAGGTATATGCCCCTACCTCTCTATCATCCCTGAAAATAATACTGAATATTTTTTTAGATTTCTAGAAAAGGAGCTACACTTGCCTCTGGTGGCAATTTACAAAATTGCTAACAAATTGGAAAAACTGGTCCCTCATGGACCACTAGTTATCTTTGACACATTTAACAATCTCCACCACACTGGCAGTGCCTGTGGCTCAGTGGGTAGGGCGCTGGCCCCATATACCAAGGGTGGCAGGTTCAAACCGGGCCCAGCCAAACTGCAACAAAAAATATCCAGGCGTTGTGGCAGGCGCCTGTGGGCCCAGCTACTCAGGAGGCAGAAGCAAGAGAATCACCTAAGCTCAGGAGTTGGAGGTTGCTGTGAGCACAGCACTCTATCAAGGGTGACAAAGCGAGACTCTGTTTCTAAAAAAAAAAGAACAAAACTCTCCACCAACCTGGTTACAGGGCTTTTGTATCTAATACAAAAACACTGTATGTGTTTTAAAGTAAAACAATCTTTTGGGGGAAAAAAGAATTAGTATTTGAAATACTTGTATCTCTATAATATTCTTAAATAAAAAAAAAAATAGTATTTGTACTGCTCCAGGGTGCTGCTGGCATTTATATCACTGAGAAAATAAAATTACTGATAAGCCATCTATGTGTGCTAAAAATTATTTTTCCTGTATTTTCAAAATAGTTACACCAACTTAAAGATGTAGCTTGTGCTCTTAGAACTGTTTGTGAAGGCTCGGCGCCTATAGCTCAACCAGCTAAGGCGCCAGCTACGTACACCTAGGGTGGCAGGTTCGAATCCTCAGCCCGGACCGCCAAACAACAATGACCTCTGCAACCAAAAAATAGCC